GTCCCAACAGGCCAGTCCCTCTGTCCCTCCACCCCCTCCACCGTGAAGGCACTGGCTGCAGGTGTTTCACACGCTGCACTGACATTTTATCCAGGTCTAGTCAGAGGAGGCTCAATTCTCATCCTCTGCAGCTCTGCCTTGGATGCTGGGAGGTTCTGGGATGATGCTTGGCTCTCTGAGGGGCCAAGGTGGAGGGTGGGAGGCCCAAGGGTCCCTGCTCCGCTGCAGGCCCAGCCCCACCCACCTGCAGGAGCCCCTGCAAGGCAGAACTGAGGACCTGGTTGGAGTGTGAGACTGCAGATGATGATGCCTGTGTTATGAAAGGGTCCCTAGGCAGTTTTTCTCTTATTTTCATGATTCCCAGAAAATAAATCACATAGTGTAGGAACCTAGTGTTTAGATTCCTTCCTGGGCTGGGGTCACCGCGAGAGACCACTCGACACGGAAATCACAGCGGAGAGATTTATTGCTAGCGCGCTAGGGTCCTATGTCCGAAGCTGGCCACAGGACCCCCGAATGCTTGTTACAGACAGTTTATAAAGGCAAAAACTACAAAAATTCACAAAGCTTGAGGCGCAAGATGATTGGAGCAGGTTATGGCCTGAGCAAGATGTCTTACTCTAAATGGTTGGTTTGAACCTGGTTTGAACCCGTGCGGGGTATTTCCCGGACTTGTTCTTCTGTTTGAGTTCCAGGAATATGGGTGGGTGTTTTAGATAGCCACACGGACATCGGGCGGGTGCTTTAGATGGCCACCTGGTCGTTGGGTGGGTGCTTTTAGATAGCCACCTGGTGTGGCTTTTCTAAGCTCCTAAGTTTCTAAGTCTCTAAGTCTCTGAGCTTCTAAGTCTATAAGTTTCTAAGCTTCTAAGTTTCTAAGTTTCTAAGTTCCTAGGTCTCTAAGTTTCTAAATCTATTTTCAATAGTTCATGGTTTTTTAATGAACTAGTGTTATGTCAGCCTATCTGAGTAACGTGACGTGGAGACACTTGGGCAGGCACATTTTAGAGGACTTGAGTTCTGCAGAGGCACTGTCACTCAATTCTCACCTCAGTGACAGATTCTAGAGGTTCATGTTTATATTAATAGTGTAAATCAAAACTAAAATCCTAAGTCCTCAAACTGACTGAACAGATCCCCTCTTGGCCAAGAGGACTCCAGAGAAACCTGAAAAACAGCGTTCCCAGTCACAATAGGAAGGCGGGTCGGACACGTCGCCTTAGTCATCCTCCCTCCTTTTTGGATTTAGGCACAGCTGAGCAGCATTAACGTTAAAGAAGAGATCATAAGACTGACAGAGCAGACTCTTCGTGGCAGTAAGACACCAAATTCCAGCCCGACGTTAGCACCACAGGACAGATGGAAGACCCTGAAGGAAAGCAAAATATTTTACTCCAAACCATATTTATTTGACCTATTTTGAGAGGGCCCTGCAAAGCCATCTTTTGTGGGGGAAATTTGCATCTGTAGAGAATCTCCATTAATGCAGCCAGGACTTCCTTTCTAGGCCTTCCCCGGATCTAAGGGAGATTAAAGGGAGAGTCTGACACTTTCAAAGTCTGAAAAGAGACATTCACCTTCTATTCTCTCTGAAGACTGTGGCCTGGGAGGCTTCATCTGCATAACAAGAACTGTGGTCTCCACAACCCCCTTATCTTAACCGGAGCCTTTCTTTCTACTGACTTCAAGTCTTTGGACAAAGCTTAGCTCTTTAAACCAACTGCCAATCAGAAAATCTTTGTATCCACCTACGACCTGCAAGCGCCCCCACCTGGGGAAGTCCCACATCTTTAGGCCGAACCAATGTACACCTTCCATGTATTGATTTATGTCTCCGCCTGTAACTTCTGTCTACCCAAAATGTATAAGACCAAGCAGTGACCCAACTGCCTGGCCGCACTTTCTCAGGACCTCTTGAGACTGTTGCCCGGGCCATGGTCACTCATATTGGCTCAGAAGAAACCTCTTCACATATTTTACAGAGTTTGGGGGTTTTTTTTTGGTCAACAATAGTATCAATTTGTGAACAGAAAATAAATTTGGAGGCCACAAGATCACTAAACTAAAGGGAAAAGTCAAGCTGGGAATTGCTCAGGGCAAACCTGCCTCCCATTCCATTCAACGTCATCCTTCTGCTCACTGATATAAATGCGTATCTGATTGCTTCCTTTGCAAAGGCTAATCAGAAACTCGAAAGAATATAACCATTTGTCTCTTACCTTCCTGTGACCTGGAAGTCCCCTCACTGCTTCAAGTTTTCCTGCCTTTATGGATGGAACCAGTGTACATCTTACACAGGTGAATTGATGTCTCCTGTCTCACTAAAATGTACAGAATCAAGCTGTGCCCTGACCACCTTGTGCACACGTCGTCAGGACCTCCTGAGGCTGGGTCACAGGCATGTGTCCTCAATCTCAGCAAAATAAACTCTCTTTTTAAAATTTTTTTATTTTTTATTTATTTATTTCGCTGTGTGTCCCAGGCTGGAGTGCAGTGGCATGATCTCGGCTCACTGCAAGCTCTGCCTCCCAGGTTCACGCCATTCTCCTACCTCAGCCTCCCCAGTGGCTGGGACTACAGGCGTCTGTCACCTCGCCCAGCTAATTTTTTTGTATTTTTAGTAGAGACGGGGTTTCACCGTGTTAGCCAGGATGGTCTCGATCTCCTGACCTTGTGATCCGCCTGTCTTGGCCTCCCAAACTGCTGGGATTACAGGCGTAAGCCACTGCGCCCAGCCTAAAATAAACTCTCTAAAGGGACTGAGACCTGTCTCAGACATTCGAGGTTCACAAATTGCAAGATAGTATTTCCTAGAAGATGTTTAGTGAAATAAATATTGACCATTCCTGATATTTTTACTTTATCATTGTGAATTTACTTATTCTGAAATATAGTAAAACATTTTACTACATTTTTCAATCAATACATTATCTGGTGCACATTGCCTTAGGACATCATATGAGGCTGAATGTGTTAGAAAAATCATAACTAAAAAATTTAAGAAACGAGGCCAGGTTCAGTGGCTCTCACACCTATGTAATCCCAGCACTCTGGGAGGCCACGGTGGGTGGATCATCTGAGGTTAGGTGTTTGAGATCAGCATGGTGAAACCCTGTCTCTACTAAAATTACAAAATAAAAATTGGCTGGCCATGGTGGTGCAAGCCTGTAATCTCAGCATTTCAGGAGGCTGAGGCAGGAGAATTGCTTGAATCCAGGAGGCAGAGGTTGCAGAATCCCACCATTGCACTACAGCCTGGGCGACAGAGTGAGACTCCATCACACACACACACACACACACACACACACACAAATTTAAGAACTAAAAACTAGATCCTCAAATGGAGCAGACCATTCTTTAAATAAGGTGCTTAACCACCTGGTAAGAGACACATTTGAAAACAAACAGAATGAGTGATGTTTGGATAACAGGCAGAAATTATGAGAAACTTACCCTCTTCGGAAAAAACATATTTTCGAGTTCCCTGGAGCAAATTGTAAAGCTCTGCATGCACAGAAGACATCATCCTATGTCACCCCCTTCCCATGCCGCTGTGTTTGTGCTGGGGGCTTGTTTGCACTTTTTTTCTCTCCAGGAAGGTATCATCACTGTTGAAAGACGGATGGGCTCATTCACAAGAAAAAATCATCTCCTAAATTCTGGTAAGGCCAAGGCACTGGGGAACAATGCCCTGAATGGCTTAATATAAATGAATGAGCCACGCACCCTGGTACCGCACCCCCACCTAGGTGTGTCTGGGGAGGGTCCTCGTGGCACCTTCGTACCGCACGCAACCGTGCATAACCCCCACCTGGGTGTGTCTGGGGCGGTTCTCGGTAGCACCCCAACCGTGCTGCACCCCCACCTGGGTGCGTCTGGGAGAAGTCCTCATGGCACCTTCGTACTGCACCCCCACCCCTGCCGTTATGCTGTCTGGGGAGGGTCCTCATGGCACCTTCATGCTACACCCCCACTAGGTGTGCTGTCTGGGGGCAGTCTCGTGGCACCGCCGTACTGCCCCCACCTGGGTGTGCTGTCTGGGGAAGGGTCCTCATGGCACCCTGGTACCGCATCCCCACCTAGGTGTGTCTGGGGGCAGTTCTCGTAGCACCTTCGTGCTGCACCCCCCACCTGGGTCGTCTGGGGAAAGTCCCCTCATGGCACCTTCGTACTGCACCCCACCTGAGTGTGCTGTCTGAGAGAGCGATCCTCACTGGCACCTTCGTACTGCACCCCCACCTGGGTGTGCTGTCTGAGAGTCCTCATGGCACCCTGGTACCGTGCCCCAACCTGGGTGTGCTGTCTGGGGACAGTCCTCGTAGCACCTTCGTCGGCACCCCCACCTGGGTGCGTCTGGGGAGAGAGATCCTCCTTGGCACCTTGGTGCTACCCCCACCTGGGTGTGCTGTCTGAGGAGTCCTCATGGCACCGTCTGGGGAGGGTCCTCATGGCACCCTGGTACCGCACCCCCACCTGGGTGCGTCTGTAAGGGGGGTCCTCGTGTTTCTTATTAATGCCCATCACAACCTTCATCCCAGGTAAGAAAAGGAAGATGGGGATGCTGAGAGGAGCCCTCTCCTTTTGTTTTATTTTTTTTTTTCAACTCAAATATGCAAGGCCACTGAGATACGGGATCCATTTCCACGCCTAATCTTCCTTCACCAGTCTCTTGTTGAAGCATCTAGGAAGAGCAGGCCTCCCTTCATGCCGTGGAGATTGGGAAATGACGGGCTCACAGGAGATGCGGGTGCACAGAAGAATCTGTCAGCCTCGAGCACATCTCCTGGGGTCTTTTTTAAAATTATGCCTTTGGCAGGCTCGATTTTGCCCTGCCTTCCTGTGCAGCTTTACTGCAAGGCTATTAACATTTAAGTGAAGCACCCAGGTGAGGGTGTTAATTGTCGAGATTCTAGTAGCTGATCTCCTGTCTGGGATTCTTTGAACTTGTCAATCATTGAAATGAGTCCCTTTGGGGCTACGGAGAGGTCACAGGCCTGACACAGGTTTGGGACGTGATGGAGAACGAGCTGCTCAAGTCTCTGGGCTCCTGTGAAAGGATTGGTGGCAGAAATGTCCTCAGAGTTGCTGGGAGGATTCAATGGAAGATGCATGTGAAGCACCTGGCTGAACGCCCAGAGCTCTGCAGACACTCAGGAATGAGTAAACACGCAGATTTTCTGCTCCTTTAGACCGGATATTCTAAGAAACTTCCTGCTATGGATTAACTAGATCCTGATTGTGTTTTTCATTTCCAGGCTTAGAGGAAATAAAGGAAATATCCCAGGAGCAAAAACAAAACACACACATGCACGCTCTCACGAGTCACCGGCACCCCAGCTGAAAGGTCAGGTCCACACCTGTGGGACCTATGGGCCTGTTTCTGAGCTCTGTGCTGTCTCTTTGATCTGAGTGTCTATCTGAGGCCAGTACCACAGTACCAAATGTGGTTGCTTTAGAGGAAGTCTTGGAATCAGATGGGGTGAGCTTTCCGGTTTTGTTCAGCCTGTTGTTGGCTATTTTCTATGAATTTAAGAAGCAGCTGAAAATTAATGTTAATTACTACAAAAAACCTACTGAGATGTGATTGGGATTGCTTTGATTAGATTAATTTAAGGAGAGAGACATCATCCAAATATCCAGTCATCTGGTCCATGAACTTGCTTTTCCTCTGTGTTTAGTTAGGTCTTTTAAAACTCAGCAATATTTTCTAGTTTTCATTTTGCAGGTCTTAAAAATATTTGTCAAACATTTCTCAAAATGTTCCATACTTTGATGACTTTATAAATGATATTTAAATGTAAATTCTCAATTGTTCATTGCACATTTATAGAAACAGTTGTTCTGTGTATTCTCAGCCTTGGTAACTTCACTCTTAGTTCTAGTCATTTTTTTTATGTGAATGAAAAGAGTCAAACTCTGTAAAGTATTTGAAGAGACTGATTCTGAGCCGAATGAGAGTGGCCAATGTCCTGTGACGCAGCCTCAGGAGATGCCGAGAACATGTGCCCCAGGTGGGCACAGGGGGCAGCTCGGTTTTACACATTTTAGGGAGACACATGTGAGATGTACGTTGGTTTCATCTGGAAGGCAGGACAACTCCAAGTGGGGGCTTCCAGGTCATTTAAGATTTAAAGATTTTCTGATTGGCAGTTGGTTACTTTCAATAGAAGGAAGCGTCTGGGTTGTGATAGGGGATTGTAGAGACCAAGGTTTTATCAGGCAAATGAAGCCTCCAGGTATAGACTGTAAATGTTTCTTCTCAGACTGAAGAGATCTGTGTGATGTTAATGCTGGTCGGCTTTTCCTGAATTCGAATGGGAGAGGGAATGATGAGGCTTATCCAATCCCATTCCCATCGTGGGCTGAGCTAGTTTTCAGGTTAACTCTGGAATGCCCTTGGCCAACGGGAGGGGTCTGTTTAGATTGTTGAGAGGTTTAGAATTTATTTTTGGTTTACATGTTATGCAGAATTTTCTACGGACGATGATGCCCTCTGTGAATAATGATAATCTCACTCTTTTCTTTCCAAACGTGATGTGTTTTTTGTCTGAGTGAGCCGACTAGGATTCCCAGCACCATCGTGAACGGCAGTGGCGAGCGCAGGCAGCCCTCTGCTGCTTCCGATCTTAGGTGGGAAACTTCCATATTTCACCACTAATAATTTAAAAGACAATTCTGGCAAAGATCAGAAACAGCAAAGACAGTGGAGGGTGACAGAAGGGTTGCCTGCAACAGTTCATGTTTTTTATTTTGTTAAAAGAGAGTTACAATTATTACAGAATATTATTGGGTAGAAAACAAATGGTATTTGTCTTACATTATTCTTTCTACTTTGCTTTTTGTTTTTTAAAAATATACTAGAGAAATGAAAATAAAGTTATAGCTTCTATAAAATTATGAAGAAGAAAGGCAGTATCACTATGATTATGCCGGAACCAAGGACTGGGCTGGAAGATGGGCCTCCAAGTTCACAGGGACACCAGCAGGCACTGGTTCTAGACATAGAGCCTCAGTTCCAGAATGTTCCATGACATGACCAGGAGCAGGCGACCAGCCCTCCCGACCTCCATGTCTTACTCACCAGGCAGTGGTAACTGCAGGCTGGCCCTGACCGGGATGACCGCTGGCCCCCACTGTGGATGCACTTGGTGCGTGGCCTGCACTGGACATCGGCTCACCCACGTGCTGGGCTGTCCAGGATCCAGGGGAAGCTCCAGGGCACATTTGAGGATCAGGAGAGCAACCTGCACAGTGCAGGACACTTGGCAGGGAGACGACGACCTGGGAGCCTTTCCTAGAAGACACAGAGTCCCCGCAAATACCCATGACATGGGCCTCATCACAGCACTGTCTGAGAGTGCTTGGAGAGAGGAAACCTGCTGCAGCTGTTCCCAGAGCAGTGGGGCGGGGGACACTCCCCTACTGAAGAAGGCATTTCCTTTTGGCGCCTCCAGTTCCTCCTGCCAGGACGTCAGCACCCAGGCTCCAACGCGGGCTGCTGGGGGCCACTGGCAGCAGCACTTCAATGTGGGGCGGGGGCTGCAGTGCTGCTGTGGGCTGCTGTGGGCCACTTGGGGACATGGCACTCCAATGCTGCCCTGGATTGCCTGGGACAGGGGCTATAGATGTAAAATTCAAGTTGGATTTTAGAGACTTAGTATGTGGAATAGAGTTTCAAATGTCCAAAGATGTGTTGTGTTGATTTCAGGGTGAATTGATAGTTGTTCTGACATAGTGAGTTCAGTAAAATACATCAGCAGCGGGAATTTCACTGGTTACTGTTTTGTTTTTGTAAATATGGCTTCCACAAAATGTAAGGGCACGCGGGTTCACACCGTCACCCAGCACTGGCCTCCCTTCCCAGACAATCAGTCGCATCTTTGCCTGCCAGCACGGCCCCTCACTCTCAGGGCCCCTGCCCTCGTGCTCCTGTGTCCTCCAGGCCCCCTGCTCTCTGGGAAGCCTCGTGGCCAATGGGGCTTTGCTCAACCTGGTCTGGGACTCACCTCCACCTTTGGGGCTCTAAGGCTTGTCATCCCTAAATGAGTGCCACAGTCACAGAAGCTTCAGGTCCACAGAGCTGGATGCCCCGGCCAGGCCTGCCAGCCTCACTCCTCGTCCAGAGCACAGCATCTCCTGCGGTTCCCCTCCTATTTGACCAAAATGACCCTCCCGATCCCCTAAATTTAAAACCTCAGTGCTGGACCCTGCCTGGGGTCCCAGGAACCTGGCCCCTCTGCTTCGCTCGCCTCCATGGCGTTTATCACTGGACTCGTACCAGGCTCCTTACCTGTTTCTCCTATTTCTCTCTCCCTTTTGGAGGGCAAAGACTATCGTTCACTGCTGTTTCCCACAGCGAGAACAGTGCTTAGAGGTACACAGGTGTGCACACCCAGATGCACACACACAGGAATGCACATAGATACACATATACTCACAGACACACACATCTCGTGTGTGTGAAAATAAGTAAATCAAACATCTTCATATTGTTTCAGTACTTTAATATTTTAGCTCTTCAAAAGTTTCCATGTTTACATGGTAGTGTGTCCTATCCAGCATTTATCGCTTGATCACTCTGTCCTGTTCTAAAATATTCTAAAACAATTTCTGAAGCCAAACCATCGAACTCTTCAAGATTAGGTCTCTAAGCAAATATGCCAAACAGACCCGATTCGAAGTCAGGCAGACCACAAGGCTGTCAGCCCAGCATGTGCCACTGAAAGGCGAGTCTGAGGCGATGTCTCAGACCCCTGAGGTGGGCTCCATCCCAGCAGCTCCCCTGGGTCTGTGCAGGGCCCCCCACGCCTCCGAGTCGGAGCCAGTTCTCAACTCGCCAAAAAGAAGATGTGATGACTGCAAGAGCCTCTCCAGGTCCTTCAGGTTGGACCTGTCACCTAACTGGGTGAAGTATGGCTGAATGGGTGAGGACTGTTTAACTAACTTCAGGCATCTTTCAGACTGTGTGGTTAGCTAAGCCGGCTGCTGCAAGAAATGGAAACAAACTCATTCAGGGGTTGCCTCTGGAAGACACAGGTGCCCACAGCCCTCCAGTCCCCCTGAATCCTCACCTTAAAATAAAATAAAGTAGGTTGGCCCTTTTTCATTACTTATTCAAATACAGCTGTCCAGCTTGCACGGAATTACCCTCCATTTTCCATGTTTATGCACTAAATGCATATGCATATTTCTAGACCATTAGTTTCTTCATTTTTTTTCTTTACAAAAGAGGACTTTCTGCTTTTATTAATTTTGACTATTTTCTCTAATATTCTGTAAGATTTAATGCATGTTATTTTCTAATTACTGTATTTAATCCTGGATTAAAGTAACCTCAAAAAATAATAATCAAGAAGAGATGGAAGGAAAAGAGGGGAATGAGAAAAAAGTAAACTTTACGTTTCAACAAATGTATAAAAAGATATGTCTTTTATCCTTTACAAAAACTAAATTATCGTTCATAGGCTGAAGGCTGTTCAATTAGAAAAAAGCATCATTTGGAGAGATGGATGCCTCTGACCCCGCCAGGCTCCGCAGACCTGGAGGCGGCTCCGGATCTGGGGTGTGCGGCTGCATTGTGTGTCCAACGGGTGATTAACTCTGCTGGTGATACGTGCTTTTAGGTACGTGTGTCTTTTCTATGGGAGTAAATCTCCATAAAGCCCGCAGGATGTGCCAGCAGCCATTCTCGCTGGTCAGGCGGTGTTAGCGCTTGCAAGGCCCATAGATTATATCCAGGAGGATGCAGTCAATATTTTCTGGGTCCTTTTTAGGTTCTGGGGACTTTGCAACACGCTTTACATTGCCCTTCATAAACCCGTCCTAACTGTGCGTTCCAGAAAATGTGCAGTTTCTTAAGTTTAGGAAATGTTTTTACTGCTTTTATTCTGAACGCTTGAATGGCTTCTTAACTTCCCGGGTCCCAGTGCAGGTTCATAGACAGACGTGGGGACAGAGGTCTGCCTGGCGAGAGCTTAGTTCTGAGGGACACGCTTCGGCCATCCGGAGAGACGCCCTGCTCCGCAGGCGGAGGAGAGAACGGCCGCACCCGGGAGCACCATCCCCCGTCAGGGCCTAAAGGGTGGAGCCTGGGAACAGGGGCTTGTTCCTCGCCTGCTCCTGGCAGCAGCGCCCCAGGCCCCGCCGTTACCCAGGGAGTGGTGCTGAGCAGGGCAGGCCCCAGGCGCCATGGAGAGAAGGATGTCGGCTGCAAAGCTCTTGGGCGCCCAGGCCCAGGGCGGCCCATCTGGGACACGCCAGGAGCAAGGGCACAGCTTTCTTCTGGGTCTCGTACGTAGGCCCCTGGCTCGCACAAATGGTGGGAGGCACCGACCCTACCCCAGAACCGTAGACCCTCGTCCAGCTCCGAGTCAGGAGACTTGGGGGCCAGAGACCCCCTTCGCTCGGCCTCCCGGACCTGAGTAAGGGTCCCCGCCCCACTTCCAAGGCCGGGACAAACGCCTGCTCCCAGTGGGTCCC